TTAGTACCTATCGTAAAAGTTGTAAACAATCATTTTAATTTATTATTAGAAGAGAAATAATATACCTATTAAAGGTATTGTAGAAATTTTATTTCGAAGAAGTAAAATACGTATCTATATATATATTTTATTACTAGGTAAGATAAGATAAATTTATTTAATCTGTTTTAACTATTTTATGATTTAAGTAAAGTCTAGTCATAAGCATTCAATTTAAGTTTACTGTAATCACCCTTCAAATACAGATACAATCTTTATATTACTTTCTCCTTCTTTTCCTTGACTTTTTTCTATCACTTTCTGTTTTACTTGTATTTTCTTTGTGTTCTTTTATATTACATTTCTTTATTTTTCTCTAGGTTATACGACTACAAAAAATTTTACACGCCCCCACACCACCCGGTGGCGGTGTTACAATCTCAGTAGGAACTACTCCTAACTCAACGTCGAATACGATTAGTCGCATTCACAGACTCAATCACAATAAAAATAAAGTGAGAATGTATTACCTATGCAATATTTGCACTCTGACGTTCGTTCGTTCGTTCTTGTGTTACCATTATTGTAATACGTTACGTAAAACTACTCGTATTTCCCATAAACATATGCATACATATTCGTACTATTCAAATTAGAGAACATAAAGCATAACGAGCCGTTTATGTTTTTCCGTTACATTCCGTTTCCTTGCGTTACATTGTGCTGCATACCATTGCATTTAAGCATCGTTATTCCGAATTTGGTTCAACTAATTTTCATTGAAATTTCATTAATTGCTACTCGCTGTAATTTCTTTAATTAAATTGGTGAATGCTTTTAACTTTCACTAGTCTTATTAACTATTTATAATTTTTGGCTTAATCGATATTCTCAAAATTAATCATTACATTTAATAAATGTTTAAGTTTCTACTACGTAGTATACAACAATTTTGTCAAAGATTTGAGAAAGCTGTAATAAAAAATTCCTCTTGCTAAAATATTTGTGTAGAAATTCGCATATCAAAATTATTGTTGTTACCTTTTAGCGTTTGCTTTTTCCATGCATGATTTTTCGCCTCACTTTTTCAAAATGCCCAGACTTATTTACTCTCTACTTATTTTACTGATTTAATCAATGTACATACATACATATCGCTTACACTCTGTAGAGGGTACTGCGATTTTTATAAACACCATCGCTAAAAATCGATACTTTAGAATAACATTAATGTTATGAATGACTATGTAATTTTTGTAAAAATTGCTGAGAGGGCGTTGAATTTAAGCCCGTGATATGTAAAACTCAATCTTAATTTTGTAGTATTTTAAATGCATAAGGTTTTATTTATATTTAATTATACATACATATGTACATCCATATGTATATCTACTTTGAGAATTGTTCCAATAACTTTTTACAGCAATGTAGAATTCAGGTCCTATCCGCACCTGCGTACCATTCAATTAATAAAAACTGTTTTTTCCTAATATGTAGTGATTGGCAGGTGAAGTTAAATGTCTGAGTTGTTTTCCACTTTTTGTGCTTTTTTTAAATCGCCAAAAATGGGCATAAAAGGTATACTCATGTAACTCAGCCACATTTTTATCAATACTTCGAAAAATTTTGATTTGAAGGTTTTCTAATGATGGGGAGCTATTTGTATTTTCAAGATAAGCCACAATAAAACTATGTTCGCGATTTAAGAGAATTTATAGAAATGCTTCCGTGCTGAACACAACCATAGAGACGTAGTGTTGCTGGACAGAGACCCATTCGTAAACTAAAATATCAACTCGGTCTTTTTCATTAAAACAGTACTATCCAAAGCGACTAAGTGGGGGGGATTTTTTCGGTTCACCTGCGTTACTTGGCAATAGATACAATTGCTACAGGTGAAAAAAGAAATGTGGGAAAGGGATGTATAGACCATGGTTTTCTTATGCAATAACAAAGGAATTCCCCCACAGAGTTAAGCAGATGTCTTATTAGTTGATTTGTGATGGCTGATTTCAAAAGACATTTCCACTATGTGTACTTTATTTGACAGTAGGAGCCACAAAAGACAATACCCAAATCCAAAATATTAAAAAAAAAAAAACATGATTTGATGCCGATTTCGAAGTTTGTGTAGTTTAAAAAAAAAATTGTAATTATTATCGGTTTCCTTAAGGTTCGTTGAAAAGTTCGGATACTCGTACATGGCGTATTAGTAACTTCTTTCCTACTCATATTTCATACATGAAAAAAATCATTGAAGCTACCAATCGATTATGCGAAATTGCTTAATCGTAGCTTGGTAATTTCCACTGCAATTATGTAGACAATTTCTTCCTCCACAATACGATCAAAGTTTATTGGCGACGAGTTGGACAAAATTTGTTAGTTTTCATTCATTTAAAACTTCGAATAAAATAGATTCCGTTGTTATACAAATATCGGTCTATGCTTAAAAGTTTCGGAATGAGTGACAATTTTTTAGAAAAAAATTTTCATCAACATTTTATATTAAAAATACGAAAATTTTATTGAAATGCGTTTTTGAAAATTTTTCGACTCAATATTATAATAAAAACGTAGATGGAAATGGCGCCCGAAAAGGGCTGAAATGCCCTATATATGATGCAAATTAGGGTGGTCCAAAAAGGGTAAGGTCGGAGTTTTAATGCTCTCACTCTTCTATTGTTTTGTATGGAAAAATATCCGCGTTTTTTTGTTTCGAAATCAAAAAATATTTAGAGGGCGCTCAAAGCGCTCCCCATTAATGTTTAGGGGCCCTAGAAAAAGAGTTCATATTAAAAAATGGTTAAATAAACGATTGGGGTCTATTATTGGAAGTAAGAAATAGAGTTTTCCAATCGAAATATATTGATTTTCAAGAATTTTCTACCATTTCTACGGAAAATTATTTTTTCCCATATAAAATATATGCAAAGCTTTGATCGTTTTGTTCGATCTGTGAATATTTTTTGATTTTAAAATAAAAAAAGAGTATATTTTTTGTCGACATAGACAAATCTAGTGGGTGAGAACATAAAAATTTCGACTTTATGCATTGTCTTAATAGAACAGTCCTATTTCTTGGCAAAATGTGGTCGTTTTTACTTTAAATCGATTTCGAATTTGTCCAAAATCACTGATTAATATTCGCCAGTGATCGCATTGCCATTTTCAGGGAAATCGGTGTGAATGACACCGCATGCATCCCAAAAAACTGTGGCAATGACATTGACCGACAGACCCACCTTAGCCTTCTTTGGGTCACTTCTTGATTGTTCCTTGATCTCTGGTCACCAAACGGTGCAAAAACTCGTTCAGATTGGGGCTGAACATCGCCAATAATCCTTTAGAGTGGCCACACGGTTGCGTTCATAGTCGAGTGTGAGCAAACGCGGCACCCATCGCGCCGTGTGCCTTTTCATATCCACATATTCACGTAAAATGTGATGTACCCACTCAGTTAAGAAGCTTACACACTTTCATTCCCCGATCGTCCGATATCATTTCATGGATTTAACGACGATCTCTGGCGTGACGATTTCTTTTGGTCGGTCTGAACGTTTGGAGTCACTTGAGTCGCTATGAACACAACGGAACTTAGCTAACCACTTTTCAACCATTGAAATTTATGGTGCAGAATCTCCATAGTATTAAGCACCCGTTTTCTTGGTTTCGGTAATGGATTTTTTACGAAAAAAATAATGCTTAATCAGCACACGAAATTAACTTTTTTCCATTTTCGTTAAAATTCACGAGATTGTCTGCTCTCAATGGCTGTCAAATACAAACTAAATGGCGCAGATTGCTCAAAATTTTACGGTAGTCTATTATTTGATGGCAGTTGCCGGAAGCAACATTGCATTAAAGTTACTGCACGGACAATTCAAAAAGGCACTGACTTTTCAAATTGCCCTCGTGCATACCTTAGTATGTAAAAATTGTGTTATACTCCAGCAAGGTGGACAAGTGGTTAGATTTGAAATTTTGCCGCGATCAGAAAAAAACACATTTACATTTAATAATGCTTAAAACAAATATTAATTTTATTCATGAATGTATGTGCATAATTGCTTTCCGTTTTTTTGCTCTCGTTTTTGCATTGTATTTTACGTTTAAATGAGTTCATTTAAATTGTAAATTTCAGAGTGTAAGCTCTTCAAAAGCTTATGAGAACAACATGTAACAGTATGTACATTACGGCGGGGTAATTTAATTTCGAAAAAAGTGTATGGCATATTCGAATTCTACGTTTGATTCTAAGCAAAAATGGTGAACAAACTATACACCAGAAATGGCGTTTGACCCTCCCAATTTTTAAAAGAAATATCAGTGTATTATAATTTTCTCAGAACGAAACTAATTTTTTATTTACAAAATTTTGTGTTTTCTTTATACAGTGTACTGCTTTCCCTTTTGAAAATTGGGTGGAACAAACGTCATTTTTTGTACATATATAGTTTGTTCACCATTTTGGATTAGAGTAGATCGTAGAATTCGAATTTGCTCTACACTTCTTCTTTTGCTCCGAACAAATTACTCTGCCCTAATGTACATATTTGGGCTTCTGGATTTTTTATCCCAATCAGCTTTTGGAGAACTTTGCTCTATACCAGTTGACTTATAATAAGCCTAACCATTCATATTTACATACATACATACATACATACATATGAAAAATATAATTATCTCTATTATTAATGTACTTATGTATTAATGTATTTGTACTGTCAAATGCAACTAAGTAATTTTACTCATTTCTCTTCCATGTGTCTTGCCATGTCTGCTTCTCTCTTTTTTCGCCTTCTCACTTCCCCGCTCAAACACAAACACGCACTCTTGTTGGCATACTCGTTGTATCCCGTTCCGACATGTCCTGTTCCGTGCGTGTACCACCAAATTGCTATCAATAAAAAAACTACATGCCATTGAAATGAAAATCATACAAAAACACTTCACATAACATCAAAATAATAAACACCTACAACACCAATACCAATGCCAACTTATCAATCAACCAAAAGCAGTCAAAAGTGACGGATAAATTTAAGCGCCCTTTCCGCAAGCGACACTCCTCAATGCACTATCAACCGACCAATCGCGTCAATCGCTTCCTCTCACAGGCGATCAATGCACGTTCCGTCGATTGCGATAAGTCCGAGCATGTCGACCGCATTACTTTGCGTTTTCGCGAGAGTGATAAGGAGCGCGAATACCGTAAAGATTTTGATCTGGGTTTTACCACCGCCATGGGTTGTTCGCTGTTGCTGTTGATATTGGGTGCAGCACTACAGGTGTCAGCTCTCCCACGAACTCTCATACTTTTGCTGCTCTTCTTGACCGCTTTCGTATGGATAAGCGCCATATTAATGTTGCTACTGGCAGTGCGTCTTAAGTGGATTGTCTGGGATTTAGCACGGAGCTTCACACTTCGTCTGGCTATAACGATATTCACCATAGTCCTGATCTATTCAGTGGGTCAGGTGAATGTGGTAAGTATGTGAAGAAATTTTAAATGAAAATGCTGTTAGTAGCTTACCAGCTAATCGCTTTATATTTGTGTGTTCTCGTGTTTAGTTTACTTGCGTTATGAACCATCCCTGTGCTAGTAATGTCACAACACATGCACCTTCGTTGGAGGAAGAATTACTCATGTTGGGTCATCACAGTGAGGCACACAGAAAATGCTCGCTCCCTCAGTATGTTTCGTTGTCGGCAACATTTGCATTTTTGTCGGTTTCAGTATTTTTACGGTGAGTATCACTTCATAAAATTTAAAAAACGCACATGAACATAATTTGTATACACATTAGACCGCACCAGAAAAAAGCTGTACACCCCAAGGTACCACCCTAATATCAGTAAATTAATGGTCGCCATAAATCATTAGGCTTTTGCTAAGGATGTATTTATATTTGAAGGCACTTTCGAATATTTTATTTTGGGCGAAAGAAGGGGTTGGCTCTTTTACATTTTTCGTCATAGCTTCTGCAATGACCGTTCCATAGATATATCGTGGTTTTTGTCTCGAGGAGGTCTTTTTTTCAAAGTGCGTTCTAATACGTACCCACCAGATCTCAGTTCTTGTCACTCTAAAAAAAAAAGAGACCTATAGGTTCCGCCATAAAGAAATTTCCAAATTGCCTTGCAAAAATACTGTACCCTACGGTACGGCGAATTTTTATACCCGAGCGCACTTGTGCACAAGGGTATTATAACTTTGTTCACATAACTGTTGTTTGTAACAGGCAAAACGAATCGAGATAGATATAGACAAATGTATACATAAATGATCAGAATGAAAAGAGAAATCGATTAAGCGGTGACTGTCTGTCCGTCCGTCCGTCCGTCCGTCCGTCCGTCTGTGCACACGATAACTCGAGTAAAAATTAAGATATCTTAACGAAACTTGGTACGTATACTTATTTCGGCCGTAGGACGGATGGTATTGAAAATGGGCAAAATCGGACAATAACCACGCCTACCTCCCATATAACGGTAATTTTCAGAAATACGAAAACTGCGATATTTTAGTAACTACTGAAGATTATTCACTCACAATTGGTATTTACAATAACTTTTAGACGAAAAATAATAATATTATAAATTTTTGGAAAATGGGCGTAGCCACGCCCACTTATGGATACATGTGTATATCTTGGTAACCGCTTCACCAATTTCTTCCAAACTTGGCACAGTTGTTAGTCTTGCTACAGCATACCAAACGGCCGAAAATTTTTAAAATCAGACAATAACCACGCCTACCATCCATATAACGGTAATTTAGAGAAATACGAAATCTTCGATAAATCAAAAAATATTAAAGCTAATTTATTCAAAATTAATGCTTGCAACAATTCTCTACCAAGAAATACGTTTATGATAAAATTTTGGAAAATGGGCGTGACACCCCCACTTATGATCACATATATGTATATCGGTAACCGTTCCACCAATTTGTATCAAACTCGGTATGATTATTGTGCTTGCCGCATAGAAGCAAACCGTTGAAAATTATTGGAAACAGATTAAAATTACGACCACTTATCATATAACGGCAAATTTCAGAAATGCTTGAAACTTCAATATTTCGAAATTTAAGGACGCTAATTTACTCAGAATTGATACACATCGGCTTACCATGTAGCTTTGAAAAATCATATACTTAATACTTGCGCCGGGTATTTAATGTTCGGCTCCGCCCGAACTTAGACTTTCTTACTTGTTTTGTTTGTAATGTAACGTACCCGTCAACGTTGCCACAGACACACTTTTTTTCCTACCATAACCAACCAAAACCTACCAAAAATTTTTTTGAGTTTCAGTATTTTCTTTCATTGTAAAATTTATTAAAAACATAGCTAACATAACATTTAGTAAAACTATAACACGGCTAGTAAAATAAAAACAAATTAACTTCGTGTAACGATTCATTTCACTGAACAGACTTATCGTCACTAGATACGAATAAAGACGCGATTTCAAAGGATGACAGCGAAAAAAGACGCGTGAAAAAAAATTCGGCGAAGAAAAACTCTTAACATAGGTGATGGCAAGAAAGCCGCGTTATCCTCTTTGAAGGCGAAGAAAGACGCATAAACTTATGTTCGTGGTCAACTATGTTTGCGAGTGTAACAGTATACGAATTCCCCAAAGAGTTTTTCCGGAATGATGTTGAATCCATGTTAACGCGTCTTTTTTCGCAAATTTTTTTCACCCATCCTTTTTCGTCGTCAAAACACCCAAGCGTCTTAAGTCGTGTCTAGCGCTCAGCACTTTGAATGATGCCATGTTCCAAATTTTAGATGGAGAAGCAAATCGTTCTCCAAGGAGTATCAATCTACGATTCATGCTTCGTGGACAGGCACATAGAATATACCCTGGGGATTCCTTCACCAGCTCACAAAATCTACAGTCCATCTCTACAGAAAGACCCATTTAATTCAAACGGTACGTTAACATGCAGTGTGCTGTCAGGTTGCCAGTAAAAGTTTTAAACTCAAGGTGTCTTTCGGAGTTCCTCCAGGAAAGAGTCATGAATCTCTTTGATTGTCTTATTCCCTTTGACTTTCGCCAGTGAGCAACAATTTGAAAACCTCCGCCAGGAATATGGTTGGGTACGAGCCTATTGGCAGACTTTTCCGTAATCTTGGTCCACGTACGCCACAAAATATATCGCTACCTAAAGGTGAAAAGGTGCCTAGTCCATTTTTTCACACCTTAGTTTTTGATGCAGAATGACAGGTAATACGAAACTACATCGATTTTTTCGCCTCCTGAATAATGGCAATAATAAGGGTTTACGTTTGTACTTAGGAATCAGGTATATTTACATGTTTGCGGCCGCCGTTATACGAACTCACCAGTGAAATATTCGTGTAAAAAGGGTTGCTAAAATATTTGGAGATACATATTTTCTATTTTGAGCAAATAACTTTTGCTCATTGTCCCGAAACCTACCAATATCCCATCAACCCTACCAACCCACCAAATGGAAAAAAACCTACAAGTTTTGGTAGGAAAAGCCCATGTGTGGCAACACCGGTACCCGTACACTGAGAAAAAAACGCGTTGTAGAAATGAAATTTTTTTATTTGATTACCGTTTAAAAATGTTCGTATTTAAACCAAGGGAAAGGTGATAAAAAATTTTATATTTCCATTGTACATGCACTACATTTTATGGAAATATTCAATTCAAACATGCCCGTATTAAAATGAAGCATGTTTCACTGCACGGATGGCGTTTTGCACGTCTCTGGCGTTTTGCACGTCTTGGATGCTTTTTATTATTATTATTACCTTCCTTTTATTAGCTCGGGATGTAACTATGTAATATTAATGCGCCTAAAAGATGCAGCGATTTCTATTCTCAAGTTAAATACCTGATGACAGTACGAATGGCAATTATAATAGGGAGGTTTTTAGTTTTTTAAACTATAATTTTATTCATATGTAATTAAGAAAGTATATGTATACAAAGCATGCACAGCGGTGAAAACACATACACACATATATGGTGCATGTTTATTTGGACAAATGCACTAATCGCGCGCTGTGTTGTTGATTCAAACCAGAGCTGGAAAACTATCGATGGTCGTGTCCATCGATAGTTTCGATAATCGATATTCACAATCATAGATAGTATCGATACTATCGAAAATGTCGACACTATCGATAGTACTAGCGATAGTTTTGATTAAAGAAGTCTAAAAATTAAACACAAGAATGTGAGATCAAAATATGTCCATATTTTTGTTAAGGAAAAAAAGTTTATTAACAATTTTTGGCTTCAACCCAGTCGGAAAAATAGTAAGGCATTACATGCGTGCTAAATAATATAATGTATTTCTTACGCGTTCTCGAAAATATTACTGCTAACTATGTTATCAGCATTCTAATGTATTCAAAAAGTTCCAAAAATTTCATATTAAAACACATTCATTTCTCGACACTAGATAATGCAAAATTGAATGCCCCACTTTTCTTAGGACATCGCCCTGGGAAAAAAATACATTTTTTTGTGAAAAGGGTTGTTTTACTGATTCGATTACTATACATTATTATTTTCCCACTGGGAAGCAGCATCTGCGCTCTGAAATTATTTGCCGCCGGCTTTTACTCTCTTTTAATAATTTATGTATAAGTGAAAACTATCGATTGTGATTACAAAACCATCGATTTTTTCGATAGTAAAAAACGATCGATAGTCTTCCAGCTCTATTTCGAACCCAACAATTGAAAACACATTTACATGAATGGCTACAGCTGAGTGTGCAAAGACCCTTGATACGATTGGTTGCTGCCAAGAGAGTCCGGGTTCAATTACCACTAGACGGAACATAAAATTGTTGTTTTTTTCTTCTTAATTAAGAAAAAGCATCTGTGCAGTTCACCACGACCTATTTTATAACGTACATACTCGAATTTAAAGCAAGTTGGGTTGGTGCTCTTTCATATGCGTATTTCTTTTAATTTAGCATTTTTTTTAATTCTAAAATTTTTTCCCTCAGTACACATACATATTTAAATATGTAGTTCTACATATATATAAAATATTTAATACAATATTATATTTTTTTTATTCTTATCACAGTTTGCCAATCATTTTTAAATCGTTGCTGATATTGTTGATGGGAACCATTTATGGACTTTTCATTGAAATGTCTCACATAAATATTTTCGATTGTTATGACAGCAGAGTGAAGTAAGTATTATTAAGTGTATGTATGTAAATATATTAATTATTATTAATACGATTTTATCCCAATTATTGTGAGTTTTCGGGTGATATGAGGCCATTACGACCAGAATCAAGGCATATTCAACAAGGTAGAAGTGACAATTCAGTCGAGCTCTCTCATACCTGACTGTAATGTCAAAAAACGTAAACAAAGAAATTAACCCTTTGTTATGCATGTACCATATTTGATAAAATTCAATATCTATGAAATGAAAGTTTTTGTAAATATGAAAATATTTAAAATCACATTAAAATCGGCTTCATTTTAGTTTTTGTATTTTCGTTTAATGTAAATGTGGAAATGCATACTTACTCAAAATTACACACTAAATAAAACACAATTATTTATAAAACCGTTTTGGCAATTTTCTTGTTTTTATTAGCCCAATGTTTTTGAGCATTTATTTTTTTTATTCAAATACTTAATTCTAGAGTATATTCGACAGTTAAAAAAAAAATTTTTGATTCTTTCTTCTAAATTTACATCGGAACTTAACTTCAATAATTCAACTATTAAATTTTTGCAATGCGAAATTTCTTTTCCATTAAATTTATTAAAAATTACTTCCAGTTTCTTTATGTCCACAAGGAATTCTGGTTTAGGTTTTATCATACCACCATTTGAAATTTGGTCTATCCATGTATATGAGTGGGAGATTTTCTCTTCATATTCAGTTATGCTTAATTTCCGTATGATAAATCCAGCTATGTATGAAAAATAAAAACACGACTCTTTTCATATGGCATTATGAAAAAGGAAAAGGGATGTTAAGAACCAGAACGTCGAATTTATAACAGTAAATGGTGATCTAAAGCGGTAAATTTAGTGGAACGAAATTGTATCATGGTGTTCGCGGAGCATTTGCTTATATGTATATGTTAATGTCGTGCTTGTTTATGGCAGACTTACTCAGTTTGGGTCTGTGCATCAGCAGCTAACTTCGTCCCCACAGACACCTCAGGAACGGCCTACACTTCAGATAACTCAAGCATTGAGGAATTGTATGGTAGAAGTACTGCACCTGGGAACAAACGCGTCCGCTTGGAAATACTCGGCTGTGATGGGCAAAAAATAAAGTCACTGCCACTAAAATGGTGTTCGCACACACGCGAAGAGTCTACTAATGGAGCACCGCAGCTACTTGCCCACCGTTGTCGCTTCACTTGACAATTAGGAGGTTTAAAATAACGCACAAATTTGTTGTCCTGGCTCTTGCCACACAGAGCGCACCGCTCGTAATTCCTTTTCATTTTATTTTTGTATGTATGTATTTAAAATCAGTCGCACAGCTCAAAATTGAAAATTGAAATTAAAAAATTAAAATTTTGAATTCTATAGGGTTAAGAGTTGACATTACAGTCGCAGTTCAAAAGAGAGAAATGTCGAAATCACTTCTACCTTGTTATGCCTTGGACCAGAATAGCCTTTCTACAAACACATAAACATTATAATTCTAATACTCAGCGATATCTAAATAATTTGTTAAGTCAAATCTAAAGAGTTCATTGCAGCTAATATCTGTTGCTATCTAAGTACATATTACATTATGAGAAAAACCGGCGCATATTCCGGTTATAAGCACCCCTGGCATTTATTATTCTTCATGCCAAAGCATTGCCTCTTGTAAGGTGGTATTAAAGACTAGCAGTCTCTGTCCATCGATATAGACTATAACAGAATGCTCCTCATTTTTCAACACATCTCATTGTCGCTGGGTAACTCTTTACCACTGGAGTGCAGCGACCAATATGGTGAACTTGAAGCAAATGGACACTGGGCAAGCACAACCCTCTAAAGTCCAAAACCGTTGTACCGCTCGTCAGCTGGTCTTATCAGCAAGAATAAGCTCTCGTAGGAAGACTTCGTAAAGGTTCAAACAGGGCATTAGGTGGGCGAAGTCAATGTTACCAGAGTTCTATATGGAATCGTACTGAAGAGGGCAGATCGCTAAACGCCATTGGTCGGTGGAGAAAGTCTTAGTATCATCAAAATATTAAGCTCAGAAGAGCAAATGCGTTATAGACGAAGGATAAATACTTACACCGTGTTCACAGGGTCTTACACATTAACATAGGATTACCCGGCAGTTGTGTGCGTGTGACACTGCCTTTAAACTTGTTTTTATACGGATGATGTGAAAGAATGAACTATATCAAACTAACCAAAATTTAATAACAATAAAAATAATATTTTAAAACTTGGAAAAATTTGGTGTGGCTGTAATTTTTTCGGCTGGTGAACATAAGTTGACTCGGTCGTGATATCATAGTAGCACAATGCCACTAATATTTCACTTACAAACAAAATACGAATTTCAAAATTTTAACCCTGTTTGTGTGAAATATTTTATTTGCATCAGTATTTTTCTTTTCATCAAACTATGTTGATATAAAAGTTAAAAAAAAAAACACAGACATGAATATGGGCATACATACTATGTACGTATGTGTAGCGGCCGCTGTTGTGTAGTGGTTAGATCTGATTAATGTTAATTCTACCAAGGCTCCTCCAAGTTTCTTCAGTAGCTTTTGAAAATAGACCGAAAAAGGAACCTCGATTTTCATTTATAAAAAATATGCATATGTATTTGTATGTATAGATTAGATGTTCATCACTGACTAATGTCAAACATATACCAATTCAGACTTTTTTTCTTCATTGGCGCTGTAACCACCTAAGCGATTTTAGCCGAATCCAAAACAACACGCCAGTCATTTTTCTTCTGTGTTACCTGACGCTAATTGGAATTGAAGCCAAGTCCTTCTCCACCTGGTCTTTCCAACGCAGAGGAGGCCTACTCAGTCCAAAGTAGCACTTGTTGGCAAGAGTGATTCTCCATTGGATTTCAAGGCTGACATTATTATTGGTGTTAATGCTGCTTCTCAAATAAATGATGTGGCTACTTTTTCAAAATTGTAACTGTCAACAGTGATGTCGGTGCCAAGACAAGTATGCTCTGACTGTGTGAAGAGAGGAGATACTTCGTTTTGTCCTCGTTCACCGCAGACTCATTCGCTTTGCTTCTCTATCCGATGCGGAGAAGTCATAACAGACGTAGCCCTTATTTTTACCTATAATATCCATGTCGTCGGTATACGCCAGCAATTGTACGCTCTTGTAAAGTATTGTGCCTGAGCGGTTCAGTTCTGCGGTGCTTATTCTCCAACATCAGATTAAAGAAATTACACGAACGAGAGTCTCACCTTGTCTGAAACCTCGTTTGGTATCAAACGAATCGGAGATGTCCTTCCCTATTCTGACGGAGCTGGTGGTATTGCTCAACGACATTTTACACAGCCGTATTAGTTTCGCGGGGGTACCAAATTCAGACATCGCCGCATAAAGACAACTTCTCTTCGTGCTGTCGAAAGCGGATTTGAAATCGACAAATATATGGTGTGTCGATCGTATTCTCACGGGTCTTTTCCAAGGTTTGGTGTATTGTGAATACCTGATCTATGATGGATTTACCAGGCCAATCAGTTCATTGACGGTGGGCTTCAGTCTTTCACACAATACACTCGATAACACCTTATAACCTATACTCAGAAGGCTGATCCCGCGGTAGTTGGCGCGAATGGCGGGATCGCTTTTCTTGTGCATTGGGAAGAGCACACTTAAATTCCAGTCGTCGGGCATGCGTTCATCTGACCATATTCTGCATAAGAATTGATGCATGCGTCTTATCAACTCCTCGCCGCTATACTTGAACAGCTCAGCTGGCAGGCTGTCAGCTTCAGCAGCTTTGTTGATTTTCGAGCGCGCTATCGGTATTCTTACCTCGTTATAGTCAAGTGGTGAAACATTGACTCCATCCTCATCTTGGGACTCGGGTTCGTCTTCTCCACTAATTCCAGCGCTGATACCATTTAGGGTGAAAATTTTTCCCTCCATAATTTAAGTACATTCTGGACATCGGTCACTAGGTCGCCGTTGTTGTTCTTACAGACGTTCGCCGTGGTCTTGAAACCTTCCGTAAGTCGCCTAACCCTCTGGTAAAATTTTCGGGCGTTTGTCCTGTCGGCCAGCATCTCAATCTCTTCGCACTCACGTATTTCGGTCTCTCTCTTTTTATTGCGGCAATTACGTGCTCGCAGAGAACAGGTATGTGAGTAGAGTGGCGAATAAATTGGCCGTCTGTTGTGATTGTAGCTTTTCGACGTTAAGCTTTCCTTGCATTGTTAGGCGCACATTTTTTGCTGTACAGAGGCGGGTGTGTATCTTGGCTACAACAAGATAATGGTCCGAGTCTATGTTTGGCCCTCGGAGTGTACGCACGTCTAAAACGCTGGAAGCATGCCTTTTGTGTATCACAACATGGTCCATTTGTTTTCTTGTTTTTCGATCTGGAGACAGTCATGTAGCTTAATGGATCTGAAGAATCTCGTTTTGATGCGGATTATGGCTAGACGTTCGTCCACCGGGGTGAGCCCCATTACGCGGCGACGGAGTCTCTCTCCTACCATGAACCGAACATCGCTCCTTTACGTGGCAACTGTAGTAGCCGTCGCAGGGTTCACACTTACACTTTCTTGCCCTGTGCATCGCATTTCTTGGATGGCGATGATGTCAGCCTTTTTCCTTCCGAGGACATCAACCAGCCGGGCAGAGGCACCTTCCCCATTAAATGGGGTCAAAAGTCAAAAGTTTTCACGACAAGAATTTGAAAAACTCCTCTCAGCGGTTCTACCCTAGGTTTATTAAACAAGGTGTGATTGACAACTCAGGTCGGCTCTCTTTTAAGGTACTATTATGCAAAAAAATATAAACAAACGATTCAAAATTCAAAAAATGTCAAATTCAATCGCACTTTGTTAGATACATTTTGATTCTACCTTTCTATTTTTTGATCATGGATTTTTCTATAAAATTTCACAGCCAGAATTGTCGGCAACATTTTTTCTGTGTCATATACGCTTGTAGGGAACTGTGGAAATTTTTCGAAAGCGACAGTGACAATACT